CCTGCTCGGCAGGGAGTCTGCTTCTCCCTCTGACCCTCCTCCCTCTCATGCTCTCTGTCTCTCATTCTCTCTCTCTCAAATAAATAAATCTTTAAAAAAAAAAAAATTCTCTAAAAACAAAACAAAACAATTACCACTGAATGGCTTTTTGGTTTGTCCTGGGAGAACTGGATTCTCACATTGACACTGGCTATGTTCAGAATCACATTTATATTCATTAACTAATCCTTTATCATCACTCAAGGAGTCTGAAATGTTTGAGGGTTCAAAAGAATATTCAAAACTATCTAATTTATTCATAAGTCGAGAAGTTCTTTGTGCCTGGTAACTATGTCCAGGGGAACAATGATCTTCTTTAAATATTTTAGAAATCCTTTGACTATTTGTATCAGGTAGCAAGTCTTGATGGTGGAGCCAGACTGGGTATGTGAAATCAGGTAGACTAGTTATTCCTGAAACATTAAGGTCAGATTTCTGGCTAGTGAGCCATCTTGGATAATTCTTTTCAAGTTTGTGTTCTGAACTGTCTTTGAAAGACAACTTCTTGGAAAATGATAAAGATGGTTCAGAAACCCACTTATTAGTCTTATTCACAAGTTTTGTTTTTTTTAGCCTACCACGTTGCTTTCCATTTATATTTGTGTATACAACAGGAGTAACTAAGTTATCTTTGCACATGGGAGTGGAAGGTTCTCGAAAATTTTGATTCTTTTCAGTATCCGAGGAACTCAGTCTTCGAATGCATTTCTTATTTTTCTTGCTAATTTGGTGACTTGATCCAATGCAAGTTAAAGAAAATGATCCATCTGCTGGAAGTTTTAATAGATCATCAGTTGTTAGGCTAATGGAGTCTATGTCATTAACAGTCTTTCTTCTACAGGATGAAGAGGAGCATTTTTTGGGATCAAGATTTTCAAAAGCTGAAAAACAAAGCATAGTTCTGTTTATTTTCCTATTACATATAACAATACTTCATAATAGTCAACAGTAAACAGAATTAAGAATTTAAGAATCATTCTTGCTGCTTCCCTTTATCTTCACTAAAACTTTGATTGAAAGTATAAAAGGTATAGGTTGATGAAATGCAATGTGCTTTTTCCTCCCATCTCTCCAATTTACTTTAACTAAGTTCTACACTTTTCTCTCAAACTCTTAAATTTTCCCTTTTCTTTAATTTACTGTTTCTTCAACTTTTTTCATCTAGACATACCTGATGCACTAATACACTCACATTAATATTGGTCACTCAACACTGGCTGCAATTTAGGAGAAAAATATGCTAATAAACTAGGTGGAAAAATAGTTTGCTTTCTGCCTACTAAACCTGCAACAGCATTAACACAAAGAGAACATCTGTTCTAATACTCTTCCGGAATACAATGCCCACATACTTCTAAGAGTTGATTGCAAATTTTTTCCATACTAGGGCCATTCCATAAGTACTTAGTAAAGTGTTACCTGGGTTATCAACAGATGCATTTTCCAAACTTGTCTTTGTGGAAGCCTTATCAAGGAAAAACTCTTAACATATTATTGTCCCACAGAATACAGATCAGGAAGACTAATAGAGTCTTATTCTGTCAATTGGGATTAATCAAGTATAAATTCAGAAAGACAAGTTTGTTTAAAGTCATTAAGCTAGTTAATGAAACCTAGAACCACCAAGTCAATGCTGTTTCCATTATGCTATAATAAAATGGCTTAAGGGTTTAGGATCAACCACCTGCTGTTATTAGTTACATTCATCACCTTCCCTCCAAGGTCACAAGAAGCTTTTGGCTGAAAATTCCTGAGATCCAGAGAATTACAGAATCATTTAAGAAAAATACCAAGACCTCAATATTATAAAGTCATTTTTACCCCAAAGGAACAACAACAAAAAAAAGTGTCTAGTTTTTCAAGGCTACATCTCTCAAATGCTTTAAATCAGTAGACTAAATAAATAAATAAATAAATAAAAATAAAAAATAAAAGCATACCATTCTTTGGTTTATAAATATAGTTGGAGAATTCTGGTATATTAGCGGAACATCTTTCAATGTTAATCTTTCCAGTGCTTGCACCCGGATACATTTGGCTTAAATCAAAATCATCAATATAGGCCTGTAGAGCCTGAGATGCAGAACTATACAGTTTATCCTTATACTGAAAAGAGCCATCAGAGTTAGAGGAATTACTACCACTCAGGCTGCAGCTTGCTAACAGAGAAGATACTGAAGATTGCCGAGAACAAACTCTGTGTTTTGTAATTGATTTTGCCATGGCTTCCTCAAAATGGTTTATTTCTATTCACTTCTCTTAAAAACTGTAATACAAAAACAACAGGTTAGAGTTCCATTAAAAGGAATAACAGCCATACAGAGAGAAATTACTAAACATGTAAACTTTTTATAATCTTCTTTAAAGAATAAAATCCATTTCTATCATCCTTTTAAGGCAATGCACATTATAGATTTTCTATTACTGTAATTACCTTGAATTCCTTCATCATTGATTTAGAAACATTTATTGAGTACCTACTATGTTCCTGAAATTTTGTATACATAATTATCTGAGAATAGTACTTGGGGAAGAGTCCTCACTATTTTTAAGCCCTAAAAACTACTGAGGTACGGTCTTTCTTATGGGGACAGAGTCTATGACATCACAATACCTAACATTCTCCTATACAGAATATTTTTCATTTCATAAGCCTACTATCATGCATCACAGATAGTAGGTGCTCAATAAATTTTTAAAGGCATCAAATGAGGTATTAGAAACAAGAAGAAACAACAGAAAAGAATATCCACTTTCAATGTTGTAAATGCCAATATGTAACTTTAGCCAACCCTTTCCCCCAGGAAAACTCAAGAACAAAATAATTTATAATATTTAGTATAAAGAAATAAACTACCAAGTTTACTGAGCTAGCAAAATGCTCTTTTCCTAAAACAACACTGCTAATCATTTTCTCACCATTTATGGCAGTATCCTTACCATTTCCACTTATGTTCAACAGATTCACCCTCTCTTTTAAAAGGGACTTAGATAATTGACAACATATTCATCTTACCGATTTTCCATTACTAAAATTGAGAGAATTCCTGTCTACCTTAAGATAGTAATAGGATCTACATTTGAATAAAAAATAACAAGACTTCAGTACATGATGTGACATTCTTTTAAAAAATTAAATCAGTGGAAATGGATCTTCTGTATTAAAAATGAAAAATTAATGTTAATGTCTAGGACTTAATACACCCTATAATGTTATAAAGTTAATACGTTTAACTTCGGGCTATAATTTTGGGAATGTTTAAGTTATAACAACTTTTAATGTAACTTTTAATGTAATCTTAATAACTATCAAATTTGACTTTAAAATACTGAAAGTTTTCCATTTCAAGACAGAGTAAAACATCTTCCTGCCTCAGCTTTAGAGCATGCACTGCCTTGGCAAGAGAGCTGACAGCAGTCAGTGGAAGCAGCAGCAGAACACAGGATAACGGTTATTGAGCCTCTTTGATTTCCCTGAATGCTGTGATGTTGGTAAATCTCTGAAGAATGGCTAGACTAAGTCAGCTTTGCTCTTTCTTTACCCCTTTCACTAATGATGTCTAAATTTTCTCAAGTGAATAACTGCTTGACCAAACATTTTCTCCCTTATTCCAACACAGTACAGGTCACCAATCTTATTTTAAAAACAAAAACAAATCCCTAAAAGATAAAGCTGTTGGATTACAGTTCTCAGTAAGTGGGTAATAACATCTATTTTAATTCACAGGAGGCAGAAAGAAAATCCACAATGAATTTTTATTGTGGAAAGCTTCCAAAAGTATACCAAAGTAGAACGAATGGTTTAATAAAACCCTATGCACCCATCATCCTTCTTCAAACCATTACCAACATACCCCAACTTTTATCCACCCACTTCTCTCCACTCCCTCCATAGGATTATTTGGAAACAAATCCAATGCATCTCACCATTTCTTCCGTAAACACTTCCGTTCCTATAGCCAAAAGGAAATCCATCATTCCGAAGAATAAAATGTTAAACGAACGGCAAAAAATTTCAACTACCTTTGATTCAAAAACAGAATGTTCAGTGTTAAATAAACAATGGGTACAGCTCACAGGAAAGGAACAACTTCCTAGAAACAACAGCTCTGTGATTTATGTTTTGAAACCGAACATTTACTTGTTTATTCTACAACAGAAAGAGAATAATTAATGAAGCCGGAAAGCAAAGATCGCTGGCGCCCCTGCACGAGAGCATCTTTTCCCCACCCCACGCGTCGGGGTTCAACCCTTCCGCCCTTACCTAGGAAACACCCCCTTCGGGATTGCAGCACCCCCGGCAGTAACAGACACAGGCTTCAGTTAGGTACTTCCACCCAGAAACCATTTATTAGGCAGCAAGCGTGGGCTCCCCCGTGGGCGGACGGAGTTCTTCCGAGGTGACAGCCCCTAAAGCCCAAGCCCCCTCCCGCCTCGCCCTCTTCAATTGACGCCTCGAGTCTCAAAAGACCCTCCGTCTCGTCCGGGACCCTCCCCCTCTCGGGAGCCTCCCGATAAAGATGTTCTCTTCCTACGGGGTATGTCCGCTCGCGCCTTCCCTCAGGAGACATCTTCCTCTTCCCTCCACGCCACTCTTTGTCTAGCCTTTCCCTCGGGCTGTCAAAGGATGGGGCGCCTCTTGAAAATACACCACCTTTTCCTGCCGAACTCACCGACCAAGCCTCCAAAAGAGATAAAAATGCACACGTCCACAACTCTCCACCACAAGTCCGCGCCTGTTACCGGACGGAAGACGCGACAAAGTATCCCCGACCCGGACACGGCCCCGCCTCAGGCTCCGCTTGCTCGAAGCCTGCTCCGCCGTCACAGCGGAGCGCGACGCCCGCGCTCGCTTTCAAACTGATCCAACATGGCGCTGGCTTGCGGTGCGCATGCGTGGCGCTCGGCCCCTGGGGCAGCGGGGCCAGGGGCGGGGGCCGCCGGGGAAAGGGGGTGCTGCGGGGCGTTTGGTAGCACTCCATGCTGGGAAATGTAGTTTCTCCCTCCTCATCTTTCTGGGGTGGAGGTTGGGAGGGTGTCTCCGGACTGCATCTGCGTCGCTGCCCCGCACGCCCTCCCCACCTCCGTCACCGCTCTTTGGGGCCACTCGGCGCTGACGACAGGCTGAGCTTCCCTCTGCGGGCTCCCCGGGAGTGTGTGAGGGGATGAGGTGGGGAAGGAAACTCGGGGGCGCTGACGGCTGCCGTTTTGACTTCGGCCTCTCGGCTTTCAGAGCACCCCCTCCCAGGATAAGACGCCACCTCCACCCGGGGTTGGAGCTCCCCAGACCACATCCTTCCCTCTCTTCTCAGTGCCTTCCACATCCCCTCCCTGCGCCCGGCCTTTCTGGTCTGGCTGCCGGCCCCTCACACTCCGTCCGAGCAGATGCGGGATTGGAGGAGGGAGTTTGGCCAGGGATGGGATTTAACAAATTCCTTGGGGACCTTGATTCCCAGGGAAGAATGGCAGTGACCCAGCACGGATTTGGGGACCCAGTCAGGCAGCCCAGAAAAAGGGAGATTATCCAAACCGATGTAAAGACCCACTAACAACATGTGTGACTGTCTACGAGGCTGGGACAGGATATGAGGTGCGAAGAATCCAGTTTCAACCAAGTGGTGTATCAAAAAAAGATGCCATCTCAATATTGGTTTATGTTTATTTTCCACTGACCCTCTGGGTGAAGATATCCTTGACCATTACTCTACCTGAATATGTTCCAGTTCATCCGATGTTACATCACCAGGTAATGCGACTGTAGGCTTGCTCTTTGTTCTCTTTTCACCCTCCCTGGCCCACTAAACTAGCCTTTCCTTTTTTCTTAGCAAATGAAAAAGTCCACAAGCTATAAAATTCAGTTAAGTGGCTCAATTAAACACATTTGTTGTGGCAGTGAGTGCTAGTGATTTGAAAATGAGTAGAAGTCCCTGCAGGAATTTATACTCTAGTGCTATGTTCCAATAATTGGTGCCTTTTCTAGATCACTCAATATCAAGTATGTTGCTGATTGGAAATAAAGAACTGAGTTATATGTGCTGGGACAAGCACAGGTCAGGGACTAGCCAAGGACTGTTAATGGCATGAGCTAAAAAAGTTAGACATCTTTATTTACATTCCACTGAATGTTTTTTTAACCTGTCCTTCTTTAAGATAATTTCTTAAAGGTTCTTTTCATAAACACAATTATTAACATTTCTCTTACTGCCTTTTTCTTTCATCCTGGGCATATATACCAAATGTTTCCTAATGAGGACATAAAGTAAAAACAAAGGACACGGAGAAAATGTAAAGGAAGTGATCAAATATATTGACTTAATTCATGGATCAAAATAATTCTACTTTGTTCCTTCACAGGTTAAGAGATATGGAGATCTCCACAAGGATTTGGAGAAGAGTCCCAATAATTATTAAAATTCTGGACTAGATCTATTAGGAAAGGTAAGGAAACCAAAAGTCTACTAGGAAAAAGGAGTTGTAATGGTTTTCTAAAGCTTTTCAAATATAGATGTCAACTAGGTGTTATGCCTTGCTGGAGAACTAAACAAGAGAAAGTGGATTTATGGGGCGCCTGAGTGGCTCAGTCGGTTAAGCATCTGCCTTCGGCTCAGGTCATGATCCCAGGGTCCTGGGATCGGCCCCACATCGGGCTCCCTGCTTGGCGGGAAGCCTGCTTCTCCCTCTCCCACTCCCCTGCTGTGTGCCCTCTCTTACTGTGTCTCTCTCTGTCAAATAAATAAATAAAATCTTTAAAAAAAAAAAAAGAAAGTGGATTTATGATCCAACCTAGAGCTTTAAGTGAGCTAATTAAGACATGGTTCTGGTAATTAAACTTTAAGAAGTTTTATTGAGGCAGCTCTTTGGAGAGTTTTTTAAAAGGTAGATTTAAATGTGTCATTTCAAGAAAAGAAACTAATGTTTCTGATCATCAAGAAGGGGTCCCACACTGTTTCAATCACTTTTGCATTTATTAACTCACTTAATCCTTATAATGACCCCATGAGATAGGTATTAACATCCCCAATCTATACATGTAAAAATTGAAGTTCAAAGGTTGAGCAATTTATTCAAAATAATATAGTATGTGGTGAGTGGCAAAGTTAGGATTTGAATCCAGCTGTGTGTTGTCATATTCTTTCCACCATACAGCCACCCTAACTGAAAACTAGATAATGAACCAAAGGACCAATGAGACTCCAGTTTCTTGAACCCATTCAGAATGGAAATAGTATCTTACTCAACTGTTTTTGCCACACCTACCACAGTACCTAATCACTAGTAAGGTTCCGTAAATATGTTCATATTGAATTGATTTGAACTTGATCCTGTCTCAAGAGGAAACATTTAAACAAAGACACCAATGAAGAGGAATCTGTCATCCACATTTGGAAAGAATGTTACAAGCAGAGTATGAATAGCAAGTACAAAGATCCTGAGGTAGGAAGATGCTTGGTTGTATTTGAGGAACAGCCAGGTCAATATGATTGGAGCTGAGGTGGAAGAGAAGACAGGTAGGAGTTGCCTTTGGAGAGGAAGCCAAATGTCAGATCATTTAGTGCCATTGCCCTCACTTTAAAAAGACTAATTCCCAAGAACACATGATCAACAGATTATGATGCTTTACAAGAGAAAGGAAGCATGATTAAGCTATTGGAAATATTAATGATTTACTGAATAACTATTATGTCCCAGGCAATAGGCGAGAACATTTAAATGCATTATCTCATTTAATCCTCACATTAATTCTACAGAGTTAGTTATTATCCCAGAAAATGGAAAAATGGAAATATTAAATAATGTGGTTCACAACTAGTGGCAGAGACAGGATTTGACCCAGGTCTCTTTGAGTCCAAAGCCTGCTCTTTGTACTGTACACATTTTCTCATTTGAAAGATTATGAAGAAGGAAGAAGGAATTCATGCATTCACACACTTAGCAATTATTAAGTAAAAACTTAACAAAAAATAAGTAGCTATTGTTCATTACTATGTAACAGATACTGTAGAAATAGTATTAAAATGTAATACAGCATTTAAAAATTGTTTTGTATAGTTATATTCTTACCAGTTGTCTGTTTTTACAACTTTGCAGGTAGATGGACTATAAGGCACTTGCCCAAGAAACTGCTCAAGAAGTTTTAGAATACAGTCAAGACACATCAGGCTGGAAAGTGGTTAAGACTTCAGTAAGAAAACAAGTTAAATATGTTTCAAGAGTTTATTTTTTAATGAGAAGTGATTCAAAAAGACTTCTAAAAATATTTTTATAACCAAAAAATATATTTTTACTTTTTGTTTGTTTGTATTTATTTTTATTTTTTTTCTGTATCTGACAGCTAATTTATTTCTGGATTTTTATTCCCCTTTGAGAAAAAGATAACTGTTTCCAGCAAGGCTTCTAAAAAATTCCATGGAAATCTGTGAGTACAATTTCCTTTTGATAGTTGTTTTGAATTCAGTGGCATTGATGTATCTAGAATTCAGTGCTGCTTCATTAGCTATAACATTGCTTGTTAGTGATCAGGAAATAGAAATTAATTATAAAGTCACTGGGTTGAAATGTGATATTAATAAATTAGAGCAGTTATGTACCACCTAATCATTTTCAAACAAAGACAATCAGGAAAAAAAGTCTTTCAAGTGAATAATTCATTAAGATAGGAAATTTCTACCTCAGGAAATAATTACTATAAGAGCAGATTGGTATTTTCTTGATCACAGTAGTATTTTGTGGCCTTTCAAACATTTCACCTTTCCATTAAATGAACCACTAAAAAATAAAGTTTATTTCCCCAGTTTACTTCTCTTGCTGATATATGTAATGTTTTCTGAAAGCTGCTTTTGAGGATACTTTTGAGGATCCTGTTATTTCAAATATAACTACACTGAGAAATTGTGCTGACATTTTTAATCTTATTCTTAAGAGTTGTTCATTCATTGCTCATGATATCACATTAATGCAAATAGATCATCATATGTTATCAAAATCACTTTTTTCCTTGTTTTTATCTTTTAGCCTATAGGAGGGGTCACAAGTTGTGCTTAAGACCCCCAAACTAGTAAAATTTTTACCCTTTACAGTTAGATCTGTGTATGGCTTACAGACTGTTTTCACAATTCAGCAGTTTTATGATTTTGTCCTGCACTTAGCCAGGGACAGCTAGCTTGGAAGTTCTGTAACCAATCACTCCTCAGAGGGAACAGTCATGGGCATACAGACATTCTTCCAGAACAGCAGCAAAGAGTATGATTTTATTTTAAGGTGGTCAGAATATATTATGTGCCAGATGTTATATTTCAGTCTCTTAAGCCAGTAAGACTTCAGCTCTTTGTTGAAGTTTTCAGTTTGGAAAATGCTTGTAAGTCACCAACCCTTATCTTGCATTGAATGCTTCTGTGAGGAGCAGCCTAGTACATCCAATATGATTGTTCTGAGTAGGGGCAGCCTAGTACATCTA